AAGTAAAGCTTCCTGGTACAAAGTTTCCCCACGGTCTGCTAGAATATAGAGAAGCTAGCTATGGGGAACTCTCTTACTCAGCGTGAAAGCCTTTTGATCCAAACTTCCCTTTTTTGTAACCTGGGGAATAAATGTACACTGGCTGTGCAAAATCTCTACATCGCTTCCCACACATTGCCCGTATAATATCCAAGTTAGTTCACAAAAGACTTTCTGTATGAGGAATGTAAACCTAAAAAAAATTCTGGACTGCCTATGTAAAGGAAGCATTGAGCATAAACCAAAATAAGGTGCAGGCATTCTGACAGAACCTACCCCTGTGGCTTCCAAGTGATCGACACACCTTTTCATATTTTACTCAAGTGCCCTTTATTTGCAGCTCTCAGGAATTACTGTATTATGCCCAGTGTTCCCTCTAAGCTGAGTTAGTGTGAGCTAGCTCAGTCTTTTAGCCTCCGGCTCACACATTTTTATCTTGGCTCAGGAAGGATGGCTCCAGAGCAAACTAATTTATGCAGTAGCCAAATCGCTCGCTCACAACTTTAATGCCAGTAGCTCACAAAGTGGAGTTATTGCACACAAGGCTCCACAGCTTAGAGGGAACATTGATTATGCCCCTATTAAGTAATCACTTCCCCCCACCCACCCACTCTCCAGAAACTGTTTTCTTCTTACTTAAGAGAGAATGATCCAAAAATGACATTGGGTGTGGCTAAATATGTGTCAGTCCTTTTAGGACATCTAGACATTTTCTGCTGCTCGAGATCCTAACTAAATGGACAACCACAAAATTCATAACATTCACTGGTAATATAATTTTGTGTGTTCTAGCTCAGGCCCCATGCCACATGCAACCCGGCAGCACATTTTTCTCCCCGACCCACTACCATTTTTGCACTCTCAGGTAGGCAGCAAAATCAACAGAGCTCTCGTGCTTCTAGTCGGCTGTCACATATAGGTCATGTCCCACCTTTGGTTTGATGCCTCACAAATGTGTGGTCCTTACTTAGATTCAAAGTTCTTTCTCATTTTTGCAAGTTTCTTATGCTGATTCTCCTGTTCCACTGATCATTGCTTTAACACAGTAAGAATTCTGATGGGACCTAAAAGCACCATACCAGAGTTTTCTAAGAAACAAAATAAAGCAAGTTAAAGCAGTGTTCAAGGTCAGTGTGTGGGGTTTGAATGAATGAGACTCAGCATTAGTTTTATATGGTTCAGTGTTTGTTTGTTTTTACCAATCTGAAGGTCTTTCTGTTTGTCATGGAGGACATTTTACATGATTACTGCTTCCTGTGTGATAAGTAGGATGCCACATCAGAGCAGACAGCGTTCACATGAAATGATTACCACATGATACGGGGAACTCCCCTTGTGAAAAGTGTCTGCATAAAACTGTAACATGAGGCTTGAACCTAGTATTTTTTTAAGCGAAAAGCCGCTAAGGGAAATATTTTTTCAAATCTAAAAATAGGGCAGCGTTCATCCTGCTGAACAAAAGCCATGAAATTTCATGGGCTGCCATATTAAAGTACATCTATATGAACTAAATGAATATTGGATGCTACAAATATGAATTTAAAAAAGAAAGCACACCTCTAACTAAAAAAAATGCCCTAATCTTTTTTGGGGGGTTGGGGGGGAGGGGTCTCAAATTAAGCCAGGGAAAGAATTTATAAAGAAAATAGGACAGTACAAAATGGTTGCATGCAATGTGGAGTCTTGTGAGCAAAAATTCTAATTTGTGAGCTACTCACATTGATGTTGTGAGCGAGCCATTTGGCTACTGCATAAATTAGTTTGCTCTGGAGCCATCCTTCCTGAGCTAAGACAAAAAACTGTGAGCGGGAGGCTAAAAAACTGTGAGCTAGCTCACACTGACTCAGCTTAGAGGGAACACTGGTTGCATGCAAACACTTCTGGTGTGAAAATGTGTTCTAGGGGAGTGGAATTTTTTAACGAACCCACACTCTTCTTCGTTCCTGTTGATTGATTTAATTTTCTTTTCCTCCCCAAAATTGGTTGACATCTTTCAAGGCTGTGGCTCAGCGGAAGAGCATCTGCTTGGCGTGCAGAAGGTCTCAGGTTCAATCCTTGGAATCTCCAGTTAAAGGATCGGGTAGGAGGTGATACGAAAGACCTCCATCTGAGACCCTGGAAAGCTGCTGCCGGTCTGAGTAGACAATACTGACTGTGTTGGACCAAGGATCTGATTCAGTATAAGGCAGCTTCATGCGTTCAGGGCATGCATACGTCTTCTAGCACAGCTGCCTTTTGAAGCTATCTTGGTGGAAAGCTCCACATTCAGCATCATGGAGTGGAAATCCACCAACCTTACAAAAAAACTTGCAACACCCCTCCCACCTTCTGACCGAGATAAAAAGACCCCGAGATCTCCATTACTACTTGTGGTTGATGAAGGGAACTTCTGAAGGCTTATACTCCCCCCCCCCCAAGAAAAAGTCTTGTTGGTCTCTAGAATGCTACTGGACATCAATCTTCCATGGCACATTCTCTCTCTTCCATGGCACATTCCACGCAGTTTACAATATGTAAAAGCAATAAAGTATAAGAATAGCATTGAACAGCACCCATGCAATACAATTTGAAATGCAGCATGGGAACTGGCGAGGTGACGTGACGTTGCTTAGAGTGAGTAGAGCTAGTACGAAATGAGGATTATACTTCCTGCGTTGTGTTGTCTCCACTCTGAATCAGCCTTCAGTGCAGATTAGCGTAATCTTCCCTTAGTGATATTGGCCAAAAAGTGAATGGAGCCAACACAGGTGGCCCCCGCTGAAGGCTTGTCGCTCCTTTTCTAGCCTATCACTGCAGAACAGATGAAATGGGAGACTTCTGTGAGTCCTGATATGCTGGAGTTTGTGTGAATAAATAAACCACTTGGCAGTACGGTCCTGAACCATTGCCCTTCTAAGCTTATTGATTTCAGTGCTAACTGGGTATCCAGTTTGGCTGGGTAGGCTTAAGAAATGCAGGTATTATACCCCATTCTCCGGGGCAATGTGCCTAGCTCTCCACTCCTCTGTCTTATTCCTGTGAAACCTTGGATGGCCCAAGGGACAGTGACTGGCTCAAGGTTACCCCCTGAGTTTCGTGGCCTCGTGGGCATTTGAACACCGATGTCCCTGTTCTGAGAGCAACCTACTGACCACTACATCATAGCTGCTTGAATCCATGGATCTGTTCCACTAAATGGTGAATCCTTCCCCTGGAAAAGTGCCTCTGTTGACAGAACAGGTCCTCGGGATTGAACCCCAGTGGAACTTCCTCATGCGGGAGTAATATACCTCAGTGCACAGAAGACAGGAGAAGGCTGTTGCCTTCATACTGGTTTCTAATCTGCTGCAGTAAGGCAGCTGTTACGCTCAACTGCAGTCGATAAATTTTTATAAACAAGTGATTTGTCTGGTTTGATTAAATCCATGTATGGAATTCAACCCTTCACTTCATTGCTTTGTTGCAGGTTTTGCTTCCTGGTTCACAGCCCCTCTCTGCACCCTTCCTGTGCAAGGTTTTTTTTTGTCCCCCAGCCCTCCTTTTTCACTCGGCAGTCTCCACCTCACCTCATCAGCTGTCCTACAGTTTATCTCTGGCTCCAGATTCCCCCGCTCAGTCTTCTCTCAGATCCACGACTAACAGCCCAGCGATCAACTGTCCCCATGTTTTTAACCTGTTTTTAACCTGCCTGTTTTTAACCCTCCCAATTTCAAGCACCTCTCCCCAATCTACTTTTCAAGCGCTGTCAAGTCACAACCGACTTATGGTGAGGTGAGCCCATAGGGATTTCAAGGCAAGAGTCATTCAGAGGTGGTTTGCTAGTGCCTGCCTCTGACCCTGGACTTCTCTGGTGGTCTCCCATCCAAGTGCTCACCACGGCCGACCCTGCTTAGCTTCCGAGATCTGATGAGATCAGGCTAGCTTGGACCATCCAGGTTTAGGGCTCTGGCCTAGTTGCGCGAGCACCCCCCCCCCCATTTTAATGCTGCTTCTTCCTAGACTGTATTTCTTAACCCAGGTTGCAAAGCTGTACTATTAAATTCTCTTTGTGATCGGACTGTATATTAATGTTTTACGACGTCTCACTGGGACAAATAATGGCTAGGAGCAATTGCTAGGCAGCAGCGATTTTGGTGTTTTGTTTGGGGGGGGGGGGGTTATTTGTTCGTCTGGCATCTTGGTGTTTACCAAAGATGCATTTTGTGAATGTAAGTATTGAGACTGCTCCTTTCTCAGTGCTGTATAATAACACAGAAGAAACACAAGGACAGCTGAGTAGAATATCTCAAGGGGGGTGGCCTTTGGAGACGCTGTTTTTTTTAGAATAATAACCTTCTTCCATTAAACTTCCTAACAAACGTTTGAAGTCGAGTATGTGTTGGATAGCATATAAGCAGAAATGCTCTAAAACACTTAACAGTAAAGCAGACATTTACATTTTCTGTAAGAGTTAGTAAGACTGGCCCATGTCCGACCACATAGTTAAGAAAACTTAAGCGTGCTTAAGAGTGCAGTCCTACGAACACTTTCCTGGGAGTAGACTTCAGTAGGATTCTGAATAGACCTGCTTAGGATTCCACAGTAGGTTTCCTTAAGAGTCGGTGGCATTTTCCACCCTGTCCCTCCTCCCATTGGAGGCCCACATTTCAAGAGGTTCTCAGAGCTGCAGTTGAAGAAGGGAATGGCAGAAATCACCGCTCCCTCTTAAGAAAAGGGCTACTGTTTCGTTTTATTTTATTTTTAAACTGTGTGGTTGGATACAGGCCAGTATCTTTAGAAAGATAGCAGACTCTGGACTGAAAGTTTAAAGGAAACTTTCGTGGCAGAAGTGGAACGGAACATGAAAATAAGTTTGTGTGTGTTAACAAGATTATATGTTGGAGATCAATCGAACAAAACTGACTCTTACCACCACAGCTTTCTCAAGACTGTATATTTAAGAATAAAATGAAAATTCCCTTTGCAACACTTCTGTATTTCAGAAATTTGAGAGAAGCAAGAGACAATGCTGTGACTGAAAAAGAGAGAGCTGTTGCGAGTGAAAAAGATGCATTTGGAAAATACGAGCAGCTTTTAGAACAGTAAGTAGTTTCAGCCGTTTTTCTTTTGCCTGTCTTTCAGACAGCTGATTAAAGAAATTAATGCAAGCAACATTGAGGTTACTCTCCCTTTTGTATTCATATCCATTGACTGCTGGTAATAGTTGCTCAAAATTGCCGCTGTGCTTAGAATTTCAGTTCCTCCTTTATTCCTCTCTAGGTTGTCCTATTTAGGATTCTGATAAACTGGCTGCCAGTGCAAAGTATGATTGAAATGGAGAAATAGAAAAGCCAGTTGGAAAAATAAAAAAAGTTTCAAACCGTAACACGATACGAACTAGAGATAAACTGATCTGTGTAAGCACTATAAAGTGGTTTGTGTGCCAGGGAGAGGTTGAGATCTAAACTTCCTAACAACTGTGTACATTTGCCTGAACCATAATGCAGTAGTTGTCTATACCCATGCCTTAAATACATTCACAGAATAGATATTTCTTTTGGCACATCATGTTGCACTTTAAAAGATATGCTGTTTTTGGGACGTCGGGACATTTTGCACTGCCTCAGCCATTAATTTGTCTCCATAGCAACCTTTTTTAAGGTATTTAGCTATTCTATCTATTTACCTTACCACTTTCCTTTAGTCACTTTGCTTTTGAGCTCCCTGTTCTTAAGTCTCAGTTCCCTCTTCTCATTCTGTCTTCCTGCTAGAAATTATTACCTGATGACAAGGCAAAATCAGCTATGGCTCCATTCACAGAACTGCTCCGTTCATATTAAATCCACATATGTAGTGCAATTTTAGAAATATAACCTTTCATTGTATGAAAAAAAACCATTAGAAAAGCACTCTTGTTTTTACCATTAGTCATTTACGTGCATAATGCGACTGTAAGAGATGCTATAAAAATGGGAACCACCTGGCTCGAAATGTGAAAGCTAGATCTGTTTTAAAACATGGTGACTGGTATTGTCGAAGGTAATGCTTATGTGTAAGCTTTTAAAAATAATTGTATGCCATTAAAATGATCGTGCATGTATTTGGTAACTCTCTTTTTCCTAGGATGCAGTACCCTGTCTATTTTCAGCGTTTAGCTTCTCTTAAAATAGGAAGAGTACACAGAGAATGGACAAAGGATTATAATGTAACCATAAATTTGGGTCAAAAGGTAATTAAGGCACGGGTTAATATATTGGTAAATTGTGCCACCTAGCTGTTTAGTTGAAAATCAGCGTTTGAGTGCAAATTGCTGGGGGGAAGGGGGTGTTTAACAAGTTAACAAATCAGACCCTTTGGTTTGGTGCCCACTTGATCCTTTGAGCAATCAGATTGATGGAACCAGTTGAGCCACATTTATGGGAACCAAGGATTGCCCCCAAAGCCAGGGTCATTGGGCTGGAAAAAGCTAGAATCAACTTTTATGACTTTCTCCCGAAACACAGCAAACAGAGGTCGTGACCCATATAGACATGCACACAAGAGAAGACAAAAACGAGGGCAAAAAGGATCCCTACAAGACAGAGATAAAACTGAAAAAAGGACTGTCGCATAACTGCTTAATGAACTCCAGTCGGCAGAGAACTGAGTGGGAAGGGGTCCTCCTTCAAGACATGCTCATAGGGGAGGGCATTTGAGCACCAGTTCTATGGTTGTCTTCTGCACTGGTCACAGCAGAAAACAGATTTTGCATCGCCACTGCAGAACAGCCATACAGAGCATACAACCTTGTGATGTTCTCCACTGGGGCTGTAATCATCCGCTGACTCCCATTATCCCAAGATTCTCACTGAACCACGGAGCGGAATGTACTCTGCGAGATGGGATAAAGGCGCTGAAGGGTCGTGGCAATTACTACTGTCTCCATAATCACGCAATTCATACATGGCACATTCTTTGAAACAGAGGGGAGAAAAATGTTCTTGTAGGACGCTGTTCGCAGTTTTGGTCCATTAAGATGCAGACAGGTGGGGGACAGAAGCCAAGGAGAAGCCTGTAAAATAACGAGTCACCCTGGAGCATTTTGATCGGCAGGGCATACGTTCAGTCGAATAAACATTTATTACCTGACAGCAAAGACTGGCTGGTGGGGACTGATTACACAGACAAAAAGTGTATTGTGCACGCTAGCCCCTAGTTACCACTGTTGGTATGCTCTGAAACTCCCCAACATGTTTGTTTATACAAAGTGTTTGGAATGCTACCTAGCCTGAATGGCAGTTAAGAAATGCCTTGGGCAAACCTTGTGATGAAGAGTGTAACTAATATCCAGTTTTCAAGCCAAGTGCAATTATTAAATCTTTATTCCCAGTGGTGCTTGGTACCTAATGTTGCTATCTCTAGGTAAGTTCATAAAATGCTGACAAAAGTAATACCGTATTTATTTATTTATTTATTTAATATTTCACTTTATATCCCGCCCTCCCCGCAAGCGGGCTCAGGACGGGTCACAAAAATAAACTCCATTACAGTCTAAAACGATTCAGTAAATAAAAATAGTTCAAGTGGGCAGTGCAGCAAATTTCAGTTTCATTTCCTACAGCCAGGAATGAATGGGCTGAAGAAGCTGAGCCATAAAGGTCATAAACCCCCTCGCCATGTTTACATCTCAACTACAGATCCTGAAGAGGAAGAAATTGAAAGTTTTTATGCAAGCGTCCAGGAAGAAATTGATAACACACCTAAAGCAGATGCGCTGATAGTCATTGTTGACTGGAAAGCAAGAGCAGGAAACACAGTAGAATCAAATATTGTTGGAAGACTGGGGCGTGAAGCAAGAAATGGAACAGAAGAGCAGCGCATAGAATTCTGTGAAAACAACATTTTATTCATTGTGATCAGGTTTCAAGCAACTGAACAGACAATTGTATACATAGACAGGGCTCTAGTCGGGGGGGAGCTCTCAGGTACGGAGCTCCGGAAGAGAACCTCTAGGGGGCGGGGGCGTCACGTGGTGAAGCCCCGCCCCCTTCTTTACCCCGCCCTCTGCTTCGATCCTCATTCCGTTCAAGCAACTACAACAAGACGCCTGTACATAGACATCACTGGATGGCCAATAGAGAAATCAAATAGATTACACAGTTGGAAACAGAAGATGGACAAATTCTATTCTCTTTGCTAAAATAAGACCAGGAGCTGATTGTAGTACAGGCCATGAGTTATTATCAAAAATTAGAATAAAAATCAAGAAAAACACCAGAACATTCATCATGGCAAAATATGATCTAAACAATATTTCTGATGAGTGTAAAGACCATGGAAGGATTACATTTGTGAACATGAACTGGAAGAAATGTGGGTTGAAACTAGAGATTATTAGCAAGGAAGAATGTGCAAAGAATATTCCTGTTTCCAAAAGAAATGAAAAGTGTCCGTGGATGACTGAAGAAACTTAAAATTGCCAAAGACCAGGGGTCATTTCCTGCAGGAGCACACAAGAGTGGAGCTCGGGCAGTAAGGAGCCCAGTAAGGAGCCCCACGCCCTGCTCCTAGCAGCCCTCAGTTGGACCACAAGAGCAAGAAGCAGCCAAATAAGTTGCAGAGCCGCCCCCTCTGGCCCGCCTTCAGGTACAAAGTCTCCCTCCTTTATGAGGGCAGATCTGTGCATTCTCCCCTCCCCATAGCTAGCAATCCAAAACAGTCCAGTGGAGCCTGAGTGATGGGTGTTGCCTTCTGATACACTTCCGGCGATGTCCGGGGGTGTGGCATATGCAAATAAGTTATGCTAGTAAGTTATGCTAATGAGCTCCTGCACCTCTTTTTCTACGAAATGACCCCTGCCGAAGACAGATAAGAAGCAAAAGTAAAAGATAACAGAAATAGAATCAGAAGTCTAAATGCAGTGTTCCGATGATTTGCACATAGGAGCAAAGAGAACCATTATGATGACCATTGTAGAGACATAGAAGAGAACAACAAAAAGGGAAGAACAAGAGATCTGTTCCGCAAGAGCCAAAAAATCAAAGAGAAATTTAAAGCACAATTAGGCATGCTGAAAGATCAGCATGAAAATACATTAAATGAACACAGCAAAATAAAGAAAAGATGGGAACAATATACTGAAGAACTATACAGAAGAGATGAAAGGATGACAGATTCCCTCAAAGAAGAATCTTCTGAAGAAGAACCTGCAGTTTTAGAAAGTATGCCACAACATAGGATTGTTTTGATGTGCAACTTGTACGCTGGGCAAGAGGCTACTGTTAATATGGAGAAACAGAATGGTTTCCAGTTGGCAAAGATGTCAGACATGTATTTTATCTTCCTATCTCTTCCATGGAGTCTGTATTTTATCTCCTTGTTGCTTCAATCTCTATGCAAGACGTATAAGGAAAGCTGGATTAGATTTCAATGAAGGTGGAGTGAATATTGGTGGAAGGAACATTTACGAGTTTGAGATACACATATGATAACATATCACTGGAAGAAAATAGTGAAGCCTTGGAAGGACTACTGATGAAGGCTAAAGCAAGAAGTGCCCAAGCAGGCTTGCAGCTGAAAATCAAGAAGACAAAAGTAATAACTGCTGAGGAATTATACAACTTTAAGGTTGACAATGAAGAAATTGAAATTGTTCAAGATTTTCTCTCATCAACAAAACAAAAAGGAGACAGCACCCAAGAAATCAGGAGAAGATTGTGACTGGGGAGGGCTGCCGTGAAGGTGTGTCACTGGTGTAAAGTGTAAAGGTGTGTCACTGGTGACCAAGATCAAGATAATTCATACCATAGTATTCTCTGTTACTATGTATGGGTGTGGAAGTTGAACACTGAAGAAAGCTTATAGGAGGAACATTGGTCCTTTGAAATGTGGTGTTGGAAAAGAGTTTTATGGATACCGTGGTGGACCACCAAAAATACAAACAAGTGAGTTCTAGATCAAGTCAAGCCTGGAATTGGGGCTATCATACTTTGATCACACTATAAGAAGATGAGACTTACTGGAAGAGACAGTATGGAAAAGAGGAAGACCCAACATGAGATGTATTCACTCAATCAAGGAAGCCATGGCCCTCAGATTGCAAGCCCTGAACAACAATGTTAAT